TACTCCCTCGTTCCGAAAAAGGATGGCGGGCTCAGGCCCATCCTAGACCTCAGACAACTGAACAAAGAACTTATGGTGCGCCTGTTCAGGATGCTGACAACCAGGGATGTAGTGGAGGCTAAACGCACGTAAACGCCGTTTACGCACCTCCCAATATTCGGAAATAGCGTTTACCCACCTCCAAAGTGCGTTTATCCACCTCTAAATTGCGTTTATCCACCTCTCAATAGCTATAAATTAAGCTTATGTCGTTTTAGTTTCATATTGTTAATTATTAGTTTCTTAGGTTGTTAAACCTAAGATGAACTCTTTCATATTGCGCTGCATTACTGTCAGTGTTGTTGACTATTACTGACGGTGGTTGCGCTGATGACGCTCGCACAGCCTCTCGAGGAGAAATCTACACAAATGAGCGCACACACACACACTCAGTTAACAACATACTGCCTATAAAAAATCTTAATGTGGAGTTTTTATATTTTTAACATATGTTAAGCAACCTCAATTATTTTTCCTGAACACCATCACGATTGAAAATGTGACATTGATTTCCTACAACAGTTCAATAAACAGTTAAAATTAAGTCACTTACATTTTAGATGCAATATTGGCTGTTTTTGTTCTGTTTCAGCAGCGAAAATAGTTCCAAACAAAAATCACAGCAGAACCACGGCGCATCTCACAGGAACACTCGACCTGTTTTCATTACTGAATGATTCAGCATTTTGAACGAATCGATTGAGTCAAAGATTCAATGACCCATTCATAAACATCTGTCTCAATCTTGAATGAATCAGCCGTTTGAACAAATCGTTTGAATCATGAATGAATCAATGACTCACTCATTAAGACGGTCGCCTGCCGCCACCTACTGGCGGTTTCGTGTTATGTTTAAAAGTAGATCATTCTTTCCAATGTTTCTTATTTGTAAATTTAAATCAATTTCATAACATTATTTTATGCAATTGTAATTTTTCAGTGTAAATGATTTAATTTGATCAGCCCTATAGTGTCTTATTATTCGAAATAATTGAATTTATTGATCAAATTTAGGAATTTAAAATGAAAGATGAAGCATACATTTAATAATATTGGGGAGGGGATGCTCTTTAAAGGTGCAAATATTACAATATGCCGATTTAAATATCAAAGCTAATTGAACACTGATGAGAAGATTGTTTCAGAATAAATTAACAAAAAAAAAAAAAAAAAAAATCCTGACGAGAAACTTTTTTACTCGGACAAGTGAATGACAGATTTACTTGTCCTAAGGTCAGGACAAGCGTATGAAAAGGCTTAATGTCGAGCCCTGCCTAATAGCAATGTCATCAAGACATCAGGATACACATACGCAGTGGCCCACCTTACCGGGTGACCACGTCGTGGTCCACCAGAATTTATAGTTTACCCACCTCTTTTTTTACCACTGCACCTCTGCTGACAACCAAACAAATCCTTGCACAGATTTGCCCGGGGGATTGTTTTTTCTCAAGTGGATCTGAAAGATGCTTATTTTCACATCCAGATATCACCCCATCATATAGGCCATTCCTGAGATTCGCCTTCGAGGGGCAGGCTTACCAGTACACAGTACTACCGTTTGGCCTATCACTAGCACCTCATACTTTTACGAAGTGCATGGACGCAGCACTCTCCCCCCTGAGACAGCGGGGAGTGCGAGTGTTAAATTACCTCGACGATTGGCTGATTATAGCCCAATCGGAGGCACAATTGTTAACGCACAGATCCTGGATCCTCAGCCATCTAGAATGCCTGGTTATTAACCGGAGTATTTTTTTTCTGGGAACAGTGATATACTCTATACAAATGAGAGTGCTCCTTACGCCAGAGCGCGCGCTCCCCATTCAATGCCTAGCGGCATCAGAGCGAGCCACGGCTGTATAAGAGCCCTGGCTCCCTGGAAAGCAACCGACTGGTATCAGTCGGGAGTGAGTATGGGTGTAGTTTTCAAAGAGAAAAGTGATCTCGACAGACGCCTCCAACCTAGGTTGGGGGGTACTTTACAAGGGCAGGCCCATCTCTGGCCTATGGTCAAACCCGGAGAGGCGCCTACACATAAACTGTCTAGAGATGAGAGCGCTCGCCTCAGTCAGGGGCGGCAGTGGCTCAGTGGTTCATGTAGGTTGTCTACTAACCGGAAGGCTGGTGGTTCAATCCCTTGTTCCACCTGACCAAGTGTCGAGGTGTCCATGAGCAAGACACCAAACCCCAGCTGCTCCCGACGAGCTGGATGGCGCCTTGCATGGCTGACACCGCCGTCGGTGTTTGAATGAGTGAATGAATGGGTGAATGTGAGGCAATATGTAAAGCACTTTGGTGGCCATTGGCTCTGTGAAAGCGCTATATAAATGCAGTCCATTTACCATTTACCATCAGTAAGCCCTTCCTGCCTTGAGTTTGGGCCTAACGACTCCAGAGTCGTACTTAAACCAAGGTATGGTTAAGTTCCTAAAGTGCTCTCGACTCCGTACAGAGCACAGGTTATTTCGCTAGCAGCTCTTCCCTCGCCAGAGGACAAGAGACGTGAATTTATTCTGTCCCGTCAGGGCTCTCAGAGATTATCTGGAGCGTTCTGCCTCATTCAGACAGTCGGAACAGCTCTTTGTATGCTTTTGCGGCCGCACCGCCGCGAGAGTTTGCAAGTGAGAGTTCTTTCTATATAAAAGTGCAAGCACAAACCCATATAAGCCATATGGGCTCGATACATGTCTGGTCCAGGCTGAACTCGAACTACGGTTCTTATATAAGAACACGCAGTTCGCGTGTCTGAGCCGCCTTGCCATAGGTTCGTGCAGTTGCCGCAGCACAGCCAATGACCGTGCAAGTCGCTCATCTGTGTCTGCTGTGCAGCTGCACTGCGTTTTAAAAATTTGGCTTCAATATTCTCGAGAAAAGGAGTTTTCCCATAGCGTAAGCTAGCCTTACGCAATACTCGTTCCCTCATCTCAGGGAACCGAGGCTACGTTAGTAACCGAGACGATTTTTAGTTTAAAGCAAAGAAGAAAAAAAAAGCATGACTAAGCATGACAAAAACACCATAAGAGCAGCCAACACAAGTTTTCTGATTTAAGTGAAGAACAGAATTTCTCGCTGGAAATCTTGCTCTCAGCTGTAACTTTATCTCATTCACGTTCATTCAAATATAGCATGTCAAGTATAGCATGTCACAACTTCTTTTGTGTTCCATAAACACATTTTTAATCAAAATTCCTTTTGACGTCATTCAACTTTTATTTTTCCACTGTTGTTGGGTAAGGGAGGCTTGTTTTTTTACTATGAAGGATAATGTGAGGTTGACACTATTGCAAGTTAAGAGTGATAATTTGACCCCGGTAGACCACAATAACCAGTAACTATGGCAACGAGAGTGGTTCTCTTTCTGTGTCATGCTGAAAGGTCCATCCATCCTGACACCCTGATATGATTGTGATATGAGTTTTCCTCTCATACAGTTGTTTCCGGCAGTATGATGTGCCACATCCTTTCTATTTGCTCCTTACACATGCCAGTTAGATAAGACTCTTTTGTTTTCCCCTTTTCCCCAAAATGTTTGGAACGGGCACGTCCTGTAAATGGGAAATCGCTTTCAGTTGGAAAACTAAGGAAATCTGCAGAAAAGAGAAGTGGGACAATAGGCCGGATCTACGGCAGTTCCTAAAGCCTCAATGTTCTGAATCACTGATGTTTATTTCACACAAATATACAAGCACATAATCTAATGCAAACAACCAGACAGGAAAGCATGGACTTTTAAAGGAGAAGAAACTGGTTTTCTAAAATATATATACATTTTTTTTTTAAATGAAATTAAATTGAATATGACCAAATTATTACAAAATTGACTCAAATGACCGAATTGGCTTCCTTGTTTGCCCCAGTTGTTTTTCTCGAGTTGCAATGTCATAACTTGCAGGTCGTTCACTCTCACAATCAGTCCATAGATTGACGTCTCCTTATTCAAGGCCAAGGCCACGGCCACGAAAACACGGATCGTCGCAAACAACACACAGAAGCCCAACGTCATCTCTCATTGTTATTTTATTCCCGAACAGTGCAAACACAAGTATAAAAGATCTCAATATGAAATTTACATTCACATAGAACCATCTCAATAAATACATCGCAACCCCAAAAATAGCACAAATATTACAAATCATCAATAAAATACTCTTTTTGTTTACTCTACAATATATTTAATACGTACAATAATTTTGACCCGTATCAAATATGAAAATATCTAATCGACATGAAAATCTACTTTATGGTTTTACTGTGCACACTTTATGCATTATTAAAGTTAATATGTCATTAATGTTCATAACATCAGTAAGTTAGGCCACTGTAGTCAAAATAATCATATTAAGCCATATCAAATAGAACCATTTAGCTGTTTGGCTACATTTGTTGGATCATAGAATCTGAAATATTCAGTGATACATTAAGCATTTTGGCATTCTGCATTTATATTCATTAAATAAAAAACAAAAATCTACAAATATGGAATTCGAATAGACAGCTCCTTACTTCACATTATTAAATATGCAAAATTCTGTATATGGTTAATGAGGCTAAATGCGGCGAAAAGTATAATCAGAGAAAGCATTCCTGAATACGTAGCTTAACATGAATGAAACGTAGAAATAAAGGAATAGCCCATTTTGCGAGTCTGTATTAATTTAAGCCCCACGCCACGTGGTTCGATCAGTCCATATGAGAGTACAGTTTGAAACGGAACCGAATGCACACAAAGTCGCAAAGTTGTGCTATAAAGGAACAAGTTTGATATGTTGGTAACCGTGTGTGTTGGCACATATTCAAAGAAATACACTTTTTCTTACAGACCCTGGATAAAAAGGCAGTCACTTTAAGAGCTCGAAAAGGCGCCAATGCTACAAAACTCCCAGAAAGCTTTCCCCACAGCACCACGCATGAAACAGGTAAGCGGATACACCGTCAGAAAAAGATTAGGATTTAAAAAAGAAAAAGAAAAAGAAAAAAGATGCTTCGTTTCATCAAGGCCATTATTCTGGGCTCATGCAGTGCTACTAAAGCATGTTTCGCAACATATCTTCGACACTTTTCACCCTTGGTTTGTTTTTGCAGTAGGCATGCATTAGATACACAAATCAGTTATCAAATAGAGCGACGTGACAGAATTACGGCATGCTGAGTGGGACATGCAGAACGGCATGCTTGAAGCCATTCCCTAGGCATCATGGGAAATCTATCAAAGATACAGTAATAGCACATAAAGTAAATCAAAAGATATTTCTTAACTCGTATGAAATGAGACTCGTGAGGCTTTCGAAACCGAGAGCAGGTTTGCATGCTCTGAAATACAGTAGATGAACTATAATCCAGATGTTTAACCTAAGACCTACAGAGCACATGACACATCCAGCACTAAAATATCATGCATGTTCGACCGCGTGTTAAAGATCATTCCGCAAGCACAGTGAGAGATGCTACCGTTGATAGGAGAATCTGAAAGCTAAGTGCCACTAAGAAAAAACACAGACAAAATAGATGTAAAATAGATGTACTGTATATTAAGCCATTTTATCTCATACTGTAAGCCAATTTGGTTGTTTTTTTGTGAATATTACAACGACACAGCTTCGATTGGGCTGGCTTCTCAAGCAGTGAAGCAATTGTAACGATATTTTGTGTCCTTGACGCTTATTATAATTCACGTTGGATCTGTAGTCATGTTATTACTGGAAAGGATATCCCAGAGGGCAAAGGGCAGCAGCAAATGCATACAGATGTTTTGCCCAAGTGCGTACACACATCACATACAGGAAAACTGTGCTGATTCAACCCACGCAAAGTTAAACATTTACCCACGTCACAGACTCGACCGACTTTCTGTAAATGATTACAAGACATCATAGCGTTAGCATTCGCTAGTAAATCATTGCAGTCTCTGATTCACTGCGGTTGTTTAGTATTTCTGCCGATCCGTCTCTCTCTTTCTCTCTCTCTCTCTCTCTCTCTCTCTCTCTGCAACTGCAGACGTGTGCCTGAAAATCGGAGAGCTGGGAATAACTTTGCTATCAAGTCTGTAAACCCGTGACGTGTTCTTCATGTAAACAATTTATTCAAAGCAAATCTCAATATGAGGAACCGTATTTTTTCCTTTGTCTGTTTTGAAAAACGCCAACACGTGTTTGAGGTTTCTCCCTTCGTCGCCCGACAGTTACGTACAAAATACAGCGCTGTTTTGAATCGGAACTTTTGGTCCTCACCACTCACGTGTTAAAAATATTCATCACCGTGGCATCTCTTGACATTTTCAGGTGCAAGATAACACACACACACACTCACACACAAACAAACACACACACACACGCTGGGTACGTGTCTCCACGGCTGGTGTGAAGCTGCCTTTGCAGTAGATCGCATGCTCCCATGTAGGAGACCCTGATATCCTGTTGGTCTGGGGAAGACTCAATAAAACACACGCATACGTGCACACGTAAAGACATACATGCTTATTATGTACTTGCGTGAAGGGGCAGGGCCTTTCTCAGTTTGGCACGTTTGAATGTTTCTCTCCTCTGTGCAAAACTGTCTCGTCTCTCCGTGTTCTTCATCCCACTTGTGTTCGGTTTCCCTCCCTGCCTCTGATTTACTAATGCATCGATTGATCACCGTCGAACCCGTCTACTTGCGATCACACCTCCATCTCTACATCGACGGATACGGAGGGCAGGTACAGAATGCTGTTATTTGGGGTGCTAATGTGCCCTACTGTGAGACTTTTCACACCGTAACTGCTGACAGCGGGCGCGGACCCCAGCTTGGTCCTTATGCAGGGGCTCAAACCACGCTCTGGATTCTTGGATCGCTTGGGGTTCATGCCTTGCGGGGTTCGGCCCTCCAGAAAGTAGGTGAGCATTTGACCTTTGCCCTTCACGCTGACCTGGCCGCGACACAGGAAGTGATAATAACCGGAGAGTAGGCGGAAGACATCCTCTGTCACCTGGGAATGTAGAAGCAAATAAAGTCAGATGTGTTTGGAGTGGCGTGCTAGTTTACCTTTACAAAAAAGAAGTTTACTCAAGTATGTTATTAGTGTACTTCTTTTCAAATAAAAAATAAGAAAGTATACTTTTAGTCTTCTTTTTATGTACTTCTCAGAAATAGAGTTAAAATTACACCTAAGTATCCTTGACCTACTGTATACTGACAGAAAAGTATATTTGGCATATACTTGTACTCAATCTTTTGATCAAGATATATAAAAGTATAATTAAGTATTCTAAGTATACTTGGCTTGTAGGTGGTTACTCTTTTTATTGATTAGCCTATTAAATACTTTTCCCCCCATAGTCTTATAAATGATATTGTTTGAAACATTGATTTATAAAGAAAACAGATATGTTCCTAATTCTGAGTATGTACATTTTTGTGTAGTCCACTGGCAGTGTACATAGGAATTTACTTCAGATCTACTTAACTCTTTCCCCGCCATTGACGTAATTTTCTGTCATTTATGACACAATGCTTCCTGACGTAATTTTCCGGCAATCCATGTTTTCTCTGTTATACAGTAGAGGGTGCTATTACGCATCTTCTGAAAGAGTGCAGAATCTCTGGATCAAAACACAGGCGAAGAAGCAGAGACAAGCGATAGAAGCATTGCTTATGCAAATGTAAAATAACGCGATCATCAAACATTAAACAGCATATAAATCAAAACTGCCTAAAGTGACCAAATAAAATGTTGAGCCAGGACGAGCTATAGGACTGTGCAAGCATTAGGGGTGTTGATGGACTCGATCTACTCCATCTGTGTTTTAATCATCGTTCTGAATCCGTTCCGGACTAAGTTTTTAACAAAAAAACGTGCACACATTCAAGTGTTGATAAAAAAACGAATGCATTAAGCTAGAATAAATGGTTTTGTTGTTGTTGTTTGTTTGTTTAAAAGCAGAGGCTTTGTTCTTTCTTTTGATAAATTGCATGTTCAGATACTCAACAAAATATTTTGTAGGCAAGTTTTAAATGATCAAAAATGTTGGTGCTGGCTAGCAGCAAAACACTGGCGGGGAAAGAGTTAAAGAACAGTTAAAGGTATATTTAAAGTATACAAAAATAATACCAAAATAAGAACATAGTAGTATGCTTAAAGTGCAAAAACAATATATAATAGATATATTAAAGAAAACATATAAGTATACTTGCAGTATAAAACTACTAAATTAGTGGTTTACTGAGAGTAAACTTCAAAGTGTACTTTCATAAACTAAACATTTTGTACAAGTATTTGACCAGTAAACTATCAGTAAGTTCACTTGTAGTAGTTGCAGTACAAACGAAAAACACAGTTGTAAACTTGTGTACTCAAAGTTTACTACTGTTACACTTCAAGTATACTTTTATAGACTAATAAGTGGCCTAAAATAGTCCCAAGTAGTACTGAAATAGTACACTACACTTACAAGTATACTACTAGTACATTGTACGTTAGTTCCCCCAAAAATGAAAAATTCTGTCATTAGTTACTTTTTAGGGTGAACTAACCCTTTAATATTAGTATACTTCTTACTTAAGTAAAGTTCAAGTATATTTTGAAGTATACTTTAAGTATACTTAATAAAATGAACTTGAAGTACACTAAGTCACAGTGTGTTACCTGTATTTTGCCCTGAACTCCAGTGCTGTCCATTCTACTGGCGACGTTGACTGTGTTTCCCCAGATGTCGTACTGAGGCCTGCGAGCCCCAATCACTCCAGCAACCACTGGACCCACGTTAATGCCTGATCAATGAATCAAATCAATCAGTAATCATATTTAACTTAAAAATGTAACTTAACCTTAAAAAAAAGTATTAATCTATTTCAAAATAAACATACTGACCCAAAAACCTTTTGCAGCAGTAATGTTTATACAATTTTTTTTTTTTTTTTTTTACTGACCATGTGGCCTTGGTTATATCAGCAGAAAATATCTTACTACATTATTAGTATTTTGCTAAATTACTTCTCATAAATGCAATTTTATATTTTGCAAATGCGCCTTGTCGGGCTGCTTAAAAAATCGTTCTGCCCTTCTCATTAAAAATGATTTGTAGCAGGTATGCTTTTCCGAGCAGCTCCCCGTGTTAAACTTCTGCTGTCTGGGTGTGAAAAAATCTCCTTACCAACAAGAGGTGCGTCTTGTGTAAATTCATGACAAGAAAGTTGAAGTGTGTATGTAGTGTAGAGGGTTCATTTTTGTGCATTAGTGCAATTATGTGTTTGTTACATGTTCCCTACAAAATAGGTTACACTCAGGACATCCTTCTGGATGTGGGATGTCCGGCACAATGTGTACACTTACTGACGTATTTCCTCTACTCATACACAAAAACACACTCATTTACGCACACTAACTCACACAAACACATGGCTGACACCTCGCTCTAACAAGATCACTCACCAACTCGAAGCACAAAGTCGTTGTAGGACTGGTAGTTGATCGCATCCAGGACGTCAAACATCTCGATGGCAAAATCAGCCACTGTGCACAGGTGTGCAGAAATGGACTTCTTTACCTGTTGAGGGAGAACAGAGAGCAAACAGACACACATTATTCATATACTGACACCTCTATACACTCCTTATAAGACAGAGAGTGTGTCAGGTGATTTTCTAACCAGAATATGGGAATATTTGACCCCAAAAAATTAAAGTTCGGTCATCATCTACTCACCTGTGTGATGTTATTTACTTTTATCAACAAAGAAGAGGATGTGTAGCAGAATGTTCATGCTACTCTTTTTTTTTTTCTTCCAAACAATAAAAGTATTTAGTGACCAGGAGCTATCAAGATCCAAAATGGATACAAAAGCATACAAGTAGTTAATAATAGTACTTGCTTCCTTCCAACTTTTCTGAAGTCATATGATAGCTTTGTGTTCGAAACAGAGAGATATTTAAGTTGCTGTTTTCTCAAAATTTTGACCGGTGTGTTTCATAAAAGTTTGAATATGAGGATGTGCGAATGGGATTTTTGGTTTATGGAAAAGAGAAACTTGGACATTTTTAGCTTCATCCTTTGTGTTCCATGGAGGTTTATGTTCTCCATCCTACAGGTTTAGAGTGACATGATGACCGAACTTTACTTTTTATATCATGTCATTCTGATCATGTCATGTCATCTGACTGCGGTGAAACATTACATCAGCAATCTGAGATTTAAAGGGAAAGTTCACCCAAAAATTACATCAACATTTAACTCACCCTCATCTCGTTCCGAACCTGTATGACTTTCTTTTTTCTGTGGAACTTAAAAGACAATATTTTGAGAAATGTCTCAGTATTTGTTTGTTTGTTTTTGTCCATACAGTGGAAGTCGATGGACACTAAAACTGTTTGGTTACAAGCATTCTTCAAAATGTCTTCTTTTGTGGAATACATGTTTGGTGGGACAGAATTTTCATTTTTGGGTGAACTATTCCTTTAATTAATGGGAGCTGTGTGTTTATGTTAGCTTTAGGGTTCGGAGAAAATATCATTAGCTCAGTATAAAAATAGCTGTCAAAGTCAATGGAAAGTCTCCACTGTGATAGAAAAACAAATGCATGTGTGTTTGCACTTGATGTTAGTTTTGCTTTCAAAGCAGTGGCAGGTTTGACTGGTAGCATAACAAGATATTCACCTTTCATGTCCAAATGCAAATACAATCTGAGATTAGCTCAAACGCACACACACACAAGTTCTCTCTTGATGCTCTCACTTTTCAAGATCTTACATGCACACTTAAACACACACCCAAACACATAAGTGTGCACACACACACACACACCAGGGCCCAGACTCATGATGCCCACATAGGCGCATACACTGGAAGAAAAGATTTGATTAATGTGTGTTGTTTTTATGTAAAAAAATATATAACATCCTTAAACAAGATAGATTTACTTATGAAGCAAAATTTTCAGAAAATATAACTATTTTAATAAATCATTAAACAAAAATGTTTTCCTTCTTTTAAGTGTAAAACTCACCAAATTCTGAAGGAAAAATTCAAACTATGAGTTTGGGGTCAGTAAAAGCAAATTGATCGAAGGTGATAGTAAACACATTATATATTTCTAATAAATGCTGTTCTTTTGAACTTTCAATTCATCAAAGGATCCTGAAAAAAATATCTGATATATTCAGTTGTGGTCAAAATTATTGGCACCCCCAAAGATGGCTGTAAAAATAAATCTGCATTGTTTGATCTTTCATTCAAAAAATTCACAAAAATCTAACTTTTCATTGAAGTAAAAAATTTTAAATTGAAAGTAAATAACATTATGAAATACATGTTTTTGCCCAAAACACGTTGGCCACAACCCTAAAATATTTTATGAGTAAAATATCTCTGAAGCATATTCCCATTCATATTTACATTTTTTAGCATGGTGACTGGGAACATGAAATTGTCTCGCTTTGACTTCTTGTTTCACAGGAGAATAAAGATGTGGAAACACAAAGGCCAAATTCCCTTAATTTCCCAAGGTTTTTTTGCTTCAAGTCTTGAAGTTCAAGTCATTGTATCTTGGAAAATAAGGCAAAAATTCTGATTGAGAAAATGATTTTTGCTGTGTATGCACACACACACACACACACACACTTTGTGTACCTTAGATTCCTCAGTGGGGACGAGTCCGACCGCAGCCATGTAAGTACTGCCAATAGTTTTGATCTTCTCAATGTCTTTGTAGCATTCCTTATCCATCAACTACAGACAGAAAAAGAGAGAGAGAGAGATGGTGTGACGGAGAAATAAATGAAGCCTAGAGTGGGATTAAGGTGATTCACACACTGAGCCAAAACATACATTTCTCGAACTGGGAAACAAGATATTCTCACCGCATCAAAGTCAGCAATAATCTCGTTTAGCAGCCGGAGGCATTCCACACCCATGTTGTTTCCATCCAGCTCAATGTAGAAGTCATTGAAGTTGGGGATGGAGGCGAACAGGACGCCCACCTGAGAGTAAGACTGATAATACAGGTCCTGGAACAGTGAAAGAGCAGGAAAGGAAAAAGACGTGAGACCCTCAGGGGACGATACCACCGATCTAGGCTGAGCTGGGAATATAACAGCGCTTAGAGAAGGTAAGCTTACATTCATTAGTTACGACACACGACACCCATGAACTGGACAAGCTGACTTTGGTCAAAGCAAAACTTGCTCTCGATATTGAAGGGTAGAGTACATCAGATTGACCTGTCCATCTTAAATCAAAGATACAACCGCACCACAGTGGTTTATACGCTAAAACAAGATTTCTCTTGGTCTTCTGAAATAGAAGAGTTTAATTTACTATACTTTATGTAGTCACATACACACTATAAAGTTTTGGGAGTGACAACCGCATTTAAATGCAGAAGTGACTCCCTTTAATTTTCATTCTGAATGTATGGAGTACAGGAGTCCCTCCCAAAATTATGATTTGGTCATAACCATAGCAACAATTTGGTGTCTTATGGATGTCAACAAGAAACTTTTTTCTTGTGAGATTAGGATAACTGTGCATTTTTGTTTAACAAAGTAATATTAGCATTTACATGCACTTTGAAAGTTTGATTCCAGTCGGAATAAAGCAATATTTTGTCTATTTAAAATGTCATGTTAATGCTTTAGTCTGAAATCATACGAGGTTAGCCATTTTACATTACTGTTCAAAGTTTGGGGTGGGAAAGATTTTGTAAGAAATCTCTTATTTGATTATTTGACAGTAAAAACAGTAATATTGTGAAATATTATTGCTATTTAAAATGATTGCTGTGATGCAAAGCTGGATTTTCAGCATCATTACTCCAGTCTTCAGTGTCACATGATCCCACAGAAATCATTTCCAATATGCTGATTTGCTGCTCAAGAAACATTTCTTATTCCTATCAATGTTGAAAACAGTTGTGCTGCTTAATACCATTATTTCAGGATTCTTTAATGAATACAAAAGAGCAGCATTTCTTTTTTGAAAGTATAAGTGATTTTACTGTCACTTTTGACCAATCCAAAGTATCCTTGTTGAATAAAAGTATTTATTAAAAAACTTACTGACCCCAAGCATTTTAATGGATATAATTTAAAAGTCTTAAGCAAAACAGTGTTTTTATTATAAAAGTCAAAGAAGGGGTGAAAATGTGTCATGTAAAACTAATTTAGAGTTTAGAACATTTAGAACAAGTGGACTCAAGGGAACAGTTGTACACTACAAATGCACACTTTTTCAAGCCTTTGTTGTAGTAAAAAAAAGAGAAAAATTTAGGTTAAGTGAAATTTAAATAAACGGAAATAATTTGCCCGTGGAAAGAATGCAAGGAAATAATTCCAGTGATGGTTGCATCTTGTGTGTGCTTTTGTGTATACTGTGTGTCCAAGATTTTCACTTCCCCGTGCCACTGTTTACAATAGAATTCCACGCTCAGGAGAGGATGCTTGCTTCAGAGCAACTGTAACAGATTTCAGGATGTCTGATTGCATCAATTCCTTGGAAAGGATCTTGGACAGGAAGAGAGGCGAGTGGCATGTGTTGAGCATGCAGCAAACATACAAAACATAACAAACTGCATAACGGGACTGTAATCACACATTCATTGTGTTCATACGGCCTCACAATGAAGCCTGGTGAGTGAGATCACAGAGTCAGATGGAGTAGCTGAGCATTTACACTATACACAATCATAATGTTATCTCAATTACATGATCAAAACACAAGCTATCATCAAAGCATCTGCGCTGACCTCTCACCTAATTAGCAGCTGGATCACTACAACATTGCCATGAAGTGGTGACTCCGGGAATTACAACAACCAAGATGTACATTTTGAGGATCGCATGAATTCGAAACGGACCTAGTTTACATTCTTAATACATTTATCGGGTCTTATTGTGCTTATTCACCCTCATGTCGGACCAAACCAAGATGACCTTCTTTCTTCTGTAAAGAACATATAAAATATATTTTAAGATTTTTTTTTTTCCATACAATTGAAGTTGTTTGGTTCCCAACATTCCTCAAAATGTCATGCTCCACAGAAGAAAGAACGTCATACATGTTGGGAATGACATGAGGGTGAGTAAATAATGACAGAATTTTCATGTTTGGACAATAATATCAAGCCAGTTGACCAAATATTATTGAATCAGATCATCATGGATAAATCAAGCCCCAGATTTCTGATTCATGGTCACTCTTCTGCCGGAACTTGACTCGCGTACGTCCTATTATAGTTTACAAAGTTATAAATATGAATATTTTTCTTACATAAACCCATCGCTTCACTTCAGAAGGCCTTTATTAACCCCCTGGAGCCGTATGGATTTCTTTTATGTTGGATGGATTAACTTTTTTGGGCTTCAAAATCTTCAATTCTCTCCCATTCTTTAGCTTGGAAGAGCCAGGATATTTTTTTAATTTAACTCTGATAGTCTGATTGTGTTTGGCTGAAAGAAAAAAAATCATATACACCTATAGGATGGCTTGAGGGTGAGTAAACTATGGGATCATTTTTGGGTCTACTAACCCTTTAAATACTCTAGGAATGGCAATGCATGTTGCCTTTAACCCTCTGTGACCTGTAAATGAAATCTGACCATGTTTCGTGGGTTGGACAGCAGGAAGTGTTGAGCTACATGTGCAGGCAGCAGGTTGAACAGAATCCTCTTATTGTCCAACTTCACTCTCTCCATGTCATCTCTCTCCTCCGCAGCCTGAGGATGAAACACACAAATAGAAATATTAACAATTACCTGTATACTCATACTAGCTGTAATACCTGTACAGTCACTGGAGAGTGTTTTGATAAAACATTTAGAATTACAGTCTGAAAATATGCATCCGCCAGAGGGCACTGTTGCAGTAGCTTGTCTATCACACTGCTGATGATGCTTATCAAGATATTCCACTATATTTTAGTGTTTTCTGTTAAACCTATACACTGCCATTCAAAGGTGTGGGGTCATTCATTTTCGGTTTCAGGGTTTCCTCAAAAATATTAAGCAGCTGATAATAATAAGCAAAAGATCGGCATATTAGAATGATTTCTGAAGGATCATGTGACACTGAAGACTGGAGTAATGATGCTTAAAAATTTAGCTTTGCCAACCCAGGAATAAATTTATATAATTAATTATAATTCATCTAAATTGTATAAATTGTGAACTTAAGTATTTTAGCTCTCTGTAACATGACAGAGCCACACAACATGCAACAAAACACACACACACACACACACACACACACACACACACACACACACACACACACACACACACACACACACACACACACACACACACACACACACACACACACACACACACAAGCCTGGTAAATCCTACATCATGGGGACAAAATATCCTTGTGGGGAATTTGTTTTTGGTCCCCATGAGAAAAACAGCTTATAAATATTAAGTGATGTTTTTTGTACCTGTAAAAATGCAGGAATTTTTCTGTGATGGTTAGTGTAAGGGGATATAAATATATAGTTTGTATCATTATGTCTATGGGAAGTCCCCATAAAACATGAAAACCAGTGTGTGTGTGTGTGTGTGTGTGTACCGGTTTGAGTTTTAGACCAGCAGAGTAAGGACAAAGAGAGTAAAGGATGTGGAATCTACGTGTACCAGATGTGGGCCTGATAGGCCGACACAATGTTGCAGTCTTGGTAGCTATGTTTCCATCCCACTGTTTTTATGTGCATTTTGAAGTATCCCATCAGTAACGAATGATAGAGACACAAGATTAATATTTTTTTTTTTTTAAATGCTCACTTAAGGTGGTTTTTGACTTGTGCAAAAAACAGTTAATGCGAATAATGGGAGATGGAAACGCATTTGCCCAATAAATTCTGACGTAGCGAACATTAAACCCAGGTGAGTAATCAGCTTTTTTCGCTGATTTATTTACTGTTGGTTAACTTACTAGGTTACCAATACCACCGCCATCCACTCTAACAACTTGATGGAAACGCACCTAATTCGCATTTGTTTGTTTGCGAACTTTGAAAAGATATGCTTCACGTTTGGATGGAAACCCAGCTTATGTGTACAAAGCTTCACACGGATTTTACACAGTTCTATGCATCATTTTGCTCCTTGTGTACCCAAGTATTTTAGCTCTCTGTAACATATGACACACACACACTCACACATAAACTCACCTGGGTGGCCCAGAGGTAGTCCAGTCTGAGTTTAAGATCCAGCTGTCTGCAGTGAAGCACCAGAGCTCCAGAAAACAACAGCATTGCCAGAACCGGGTCATAGCCATGTGTGTGAAAGAATCCACCTCTAAACACACACACAGAATAATTACCCATCAGATTATCAGATAATTCAAGGATTCAGCCTTTTGACCAAAAACATTGACTTTAACTTGCTGAGATTTTAAGTAACTATTACAATAGTTATTATTTGACATTTTTAGAATCTTTTCACCAACTTGCAAACAGTTTGGGAAATCTATTTCTGTAACCTTTGCGTTTAGCTTGACTCACCCTATGGCCTTCCTATAACCGCTGGTCTCCATGACGACAGTGTGGAGAATGTTGAGAAGGAGAAGCAGGAGGATCTTGGGTAGTGATGACACACGAAGGTACAGGGCCACAGATAGCGACGCCATCACACATGATAAAAATATGTACGGAGTGTATTTGCACACCCCGGAGCCGTCGGAAGTCCCATTCACTGTGACAACTGTCACCATGGAGACATTGGGATTCCCCACCAGTGACCACGGTACACATCCCACCTGTGCAGGTTGAGAAAATCATACACAGTTAAACGCACAAAGACAAGAACATTACAAAGAAATGTTGCATGTTTGGAAGTTAAATGATAGCTTTCATTTGGAAAGCTTTACTTCCAGAAAGCTTTCATTAGGTTGCAACGAATTACGGTTGCAACAATTATAAAAATGCATTACAAAGGGTATTTTAAAGCTTTATAAAAACATTTCTTATGTATTAAGCTATAAAGGCACAGTATGTGAGTTTTGCCACTAGAGGTAATTTTTTCAAAACAATAACAAAGGCGCAGTTTGATGACGCTGTGAAGCGTGGAATCATAAGAGGTGTCGTCTTCACCTCCACAGCCAATGGAAAGCTATCCGACGGGACTATACGGGGCAATAATCATGTTCATGGGCAAAGGTATGTATTAAGCTATAAAGGCACAGTATGTAAGTTTTGCCACTAGAGGTAATTTTTTCAAAACAATAACAAAGGCGCAGTTTGATGACGCTCTGAAGCGTGGAATCATAAGAGGTGTCGTCTTCACATCCACAGCCAATGGAAAGCTATCCGACGGGACTATACGGGGCAATAATCATGTTCATGGGTGAGCTAATTTATTAAAGTTTTATTAACGTTACTGTGGTATTAAGAGAGCCGAGATGACCCGAGGTGTTTTACCTTGCTGTTTTATTATGCTTATATGCTGCAGTTGACCACTTTTTACGATTAAAGTTACGTTTAACGTCCGCCTCCTTCTTCCCTGAACTTGAACTTTTGTTACTGTTACGTTTGATCACTTAAATTCACATTATTTTATTTTATTCTAATAAAACAGCCGCAAGTGCTGAATTACTACTCATACAGGTCACTTTATCTGGCCAATTAAAATTGTGGGGTAACGCAGCGCTGTTTTACTTCGTCAAAACAATCATACTAAAATTGTGTTGAAAGTTATGTTAACGTTACTCAGTGGCTGGTATGAGACACTTATTGCACATTGCAGTTAGATTGATATTAGAATATCATATTAGAATATCAATCGCTCCCAGGCACCGCAGTGAATGGCTGCCCACTGCTCAGTGTGTGTGTGTGTGTGTGTGTACTCACTGCTCCTAATGTGTGTGCACTAATTTAGATGGGTTAAATGCAGAGGACAAATTCTGATTAAAGGTTGCCATACTTGGCCTTCACGTCACTTAGCTTAATAAAAGCTGGATGACTTGTGTTGCTAAATGGCATGTAATTAATTTTTTTTTTAATGTATTGTATGGTGGAGAAAATGCTATTACTGTTACTATAAATAAACCTTTTCTGATTATGCTATGTTAGCCACTTGACACTGAGGCTTAAACTGTACAAACATGTTACTCGAGGTAAATCAAGAAAACAAGGGATTTAAACAACAAGATAAACACTGAGTAATTTTCTGTCGAGAAAGGTATCCAAACAGTTGCTCTCCTGTCTAATAAAACACATAATATATTAAAGCGTCTTTGTTGTTTCTATGGTTTCTACGGAAATCGAGGGTTATGCGGATATGCGTCATTGACAGGCGACGCAATGGCACCGGCCGTTACACTGGTTGAAATTGCTGATTTCTCTGGATTTAAACATTGTTGTAAACATTTGAGATAAAGTACAACCAAATATATAATATTGTTCTAGTGGTTTTTGGATATTTGAATCCCAAAATCGTACATATTGTGACTTTAATACATAAGGAATGTTATTATAATGTTTAAAATATTGTTTTATTTAAAATTATAGCCTACATTCAGGCTTCAATTAAAGTGTTATGACACTGATGCAAAATATTTTAGCGGGTTGACTTGTGATAAGCAAGACCCTCAGTCATTCTCTCTTCTACTCTACACACACACTCACCACACACCCCTGGGTCACGGAGTACATCAGCAGAACCAGAAACCCACACAGAACTGTTCTGATCTGCAGGGTGAGACAGTCAGGAGAGCACTGAGAAGACAGACAGACAAAGACAGGAGAGAGGAATCAGCAAACATGCTGAGCAAAACACAACAACTAGAGTTTTACATTTTTCTGAAGAAAATGACAGTGGTGGCTGTGGGTGGATGCTAAGGTATTTGTAGCGTGTTCTGGAAGCTTGTTAGGTTATGCTAGGGAGTCGAGGTCTGTGTGTGTGTGTGTGTGTGTGTGTGTGTGTACCTACTTAACTATATTTTGGGGACAAATTTGGACCCAAAAGTGACCAAAACCTGACAAAATCTCCAAAAACCTCCCTTCAGGGACATCCTCATTTGTAAATCTAGTATACAAATAAAGTAATTAAAGGTTTTTTAAAAATATAAAAATGCAGAAAGTTTTCTGTGATGGGTAGGGTTAGTGTAAGGAGATTTAATATACAGTATGTACAGTATAAATACCATTAAGTCTATGGAATGTCCCCATTTAGATAGCTAAAGTGTGTGTGTGTGTGTGTGTGTGTGTGTTACCTGTACATGAGTGATGTGAAGATACATCACACTTGCCATGTGGAAACACAAACAGAGAACCAGAAGAATCACAACCAGAAGACCTCTGCAGCAAGAGAGATAGAGGGAAAGAGAGGGGTTTCCCACATTTTATATGCATGTGTGTTGTGTGATGCAGTGACCTGAGCATGTAAAATGTGTATTCAATTTAGTGTGTCTGGCAAATAAAGCAAAGGTGTGTTATGTTGTCGTGTCAGGTATTGTGTGTATGTGTCAATTACATACTGAGGAATGATGAGAAAATAGACCACTGCAAAAAATGAAGTGAGGACAAGCGAGATGAGCACCGCACTGATGAAGGCCTCGTCATACACTTGCTGATACTGTGTGACAGAGAGAGACAGAGACAATTTGATAGATCGTAGAAATTACATGTGTACATGTGTGTAAATGTGTTTCCTCAACTACTGCATCTGCACTTTTAGCCCTGTTGAGTGTTAGAAAATAAAGTCATTTAAACAATGTTTTAAATGCACAAATGTCATTTCAACCTCATTAAAAATCACCATTCATTTTGTGATGGAAATGACGATGAAATTAATTGTTTTAAATAAAATGGTGACTTTCTTGTCTTTCTAAGGCTAATTTTGATTTCATGTATCCCAAACACACACAATTAAATCATATTTCCACACAATTAAATATATATTTTTAGAAACATTAACAAAATTACAGCTGGATTGAAAATGACAATACAAATATTCAGTTTTTTTTTTTATCTATATCTATCTGTTTTCTTCACATATCTAAATTTAACAAAGATTTATAGAGGGGCAACATTGTTGGCTGTGCCATTTATCAAACAATAGATTCTTAAATATACATAAATTTATTTCATTAGTTTTAAAATGTAATATTGTTTGAAAGATTGTTTTAAGATTAAAAGTCTGGGACATGAAAACCCCCCCTGAATAAATCACAATTATTTACGATATAAAAGGCATTTTAAAAGTAGCAAAAACAAATGACGAAGACGTGGTAAAAAGTTCCCGGGACAATTTTAATAACGTATTAAATTTCAATTATTTCATTTTGACAAAAATCAATACATAAAAGTGCTGAAAGTTGAAGAAACAGCCGCGTGTGTGTTCATGTAAACATGTTTTGTTGTATCTCTTGTAGGTGTCACAAGCAAACTTGTATTTGTACCATTCCAGCGCAGCCTGCGAGAGATCAATGCAACACACTGCTTTGAGCGTCAGCTTCATTAGAGTATAAAGCCAGCATCCCCCTCTTCACAAGAGACAGATGCAATGTCATTATACCCCCAGAGAGAGCAGGGAAAGCCACCGCGCTCGAGAGTGTGTGTGTGAGAGAGAATATATGTCGTGAGTCTGACAGATTTTCCCAAATCATTACTGTTGCCCCCATTCTATGGGTGGGCAGGCGTCTAAGGAATAGAGAACAGAGCAATGGAGAGAGCCAGTGAGAAAGGAGGAGGAGGGGGAGAGATGAGGGGGAGAGAGGATGTTGAAAGTGAGAGGAGACATGGAGTCACGAAGCACAATGCGGGGGATGCGGCGAAATTCTTCACTCCATCTCTCTCGCATTTCGCCATGTCACTACTGCCAAATGCCCTGGATCGGTTAACGCTGTGTTTGGGACGCTGGGGCATGTTGTCACACTTTTCACTCCAGTGAATATTTCACATGGTTTTTAAAGTCTATTAGAAACAGACATGCATTTAAAAGTTTGGGGTCGGTGCGAATTAAAAAAAAAAAGAATACAATTGAATTGCATTGAATTGATCAAAAGTGACTGTAAAGACATTTTAATGTAGCAAAAGATTTCGGTTTCAAATAAATGCTGTACTTTTGAACTTTCTGTTAAATGTATAATGGTCAAAAAGCAACATAACTGCTTTCAACATTGATGATAATAAGAAACGTTTCTTTAGCAGCAAATCAGCACATGATCAGACATTATTTCTGAAGAACCATCTGACATTGATGTGAAAATTCAGCTTTGCCATCACAGGAATAAATTACATTTTTAAATATATTTAAATAGAAAACAGTTATTTCCAAGTGTAATAATATTTCAAACAATATTGCTGTTTTTACTGTGTTTTTGATCAAATAAATGCAGTTTTGGTGTGCATAAGATAGCCAAACTTTTGAATGGTAATTTTCCTTATAGTCTTGGATAAAAAAAATATATATATATATATATATATATATATATAAAAAAAAGCTTTTGATTAAGTTCCTTGAACACATGGTAACCAATAGTGGGGTACGTTTAGTATTAAATTAAATCATTTTATTTTCAGCTATTTAAATAGTATTATACAAAACAAAGAAAAAATAAAAACAAAATTGCTGCAAAACTGTAAAAGGTAACATTGTAATTAATACATTTATAAAACACAAAAAATAAATTAAACTTTTGACTTTTTTCAGTGTGGTTTTATTGTGATTACTTATTTAGCCAGCAGCTATAACAAAAACGTGACAATATAATATGATGTTATTTTAGCTTAGACACCTAATTTAAAAAATCATTCCATTTTAAGAGGTTCAAACCCTCCCATGTAACAGCTATACTGCTCACACCTACATATCTATCCATTATGCAGCTGTGTGTACTCACTCTCTGCTCTCTCTCTCTGCTCTTGTATGTAAGGGTAATATAGTTGAGGTCTGCCGTCTCGGACTCCGTCTGTCGTGCTTCTAGCATTCGACCAATGTAACGGTTCACTCTGGTCCCAGGAGAGTTCTGCACCTGGCCCGCCGAAAATGACGTCCGATCGCGCAGCTTCTCAGAAGCTGTTCGCAACGCCCGTCTCTGGAAACCCAGGGACAATTCAGTTCAATTCCAGTATAGCAGATTCCAGTTAAGCAAAGGGAAGATTTTCAATGAACTATCACTTTATAATTATTAGGTAAAGAAAGAACCGCAAACTGACATACTTTTAAACTCATTTAGACACAAATCTACATAACATGGTGACAGATGGGTATTCAACACATCTCAGCATATTTTTTCACACATGCAATGGTGATAAGATGTTTAATTATGCACTGATACAAGTCAAAACACACACACAGGTGACACACACACACACACACACACACACACACACACACGATGAGAACAGTAAATCTGCAGTGGTGATTGGATCTGTGTGCAATCATCCACACATCTGAAGGAGTGGCATTAGAGAGTGGACTGGATTAAAAGAGTGTGAGAGTGAATGTGATTTGTGTGGGTGTAAAAGGTGATTTAGGGTCATTTTGGGATTTTGGCTTTGCAAGTATTGGAGGACTGCACACAAAGCAGATCCGGAACAAGTTTTCACTGACTGGCTGGTCATTACATCATAACACTGTGATGTCTTAGCTCATGATTAATAATTAGGTTATCAATATATTTATGAGCCAAACCTTCGTAAATAAGGTTCTTGTGGAGATACACTTAAGACCGGCAGGGTGTACTACTCAGGTTTGCGATTTAATATCAGACCAGACTTGACTTAAAATATATTTGACATTTTGCTGTAGTTTTTCATTTTTTATAAGCATTACAAACACCTATTTTAGGCTGTTTACACGACAACATTGTATTAAAAACAGAAAGTGTTTTCAGACTAAAATGCTGTATTATGCATTTTCAAAGTTGATTTCAAAGGTTTTCTTTTCATTCCTTCTTTCATTGGTTTAAATATAGAGATTACTTTTGCAGTCATCAGCATTTTGTTGTACATGCACTCATTGTGATAAATATCTCCATAAATAGATATTACTTCAGTCAATCTCCATACCTAGTCATTTCTATGACTAAGAATCATTTTCATTCATTTTGCTGGTGTCGGTGCAGGGATCAGTGGGTAGATGTTCGACATCTTTCTTATAATATATATTCTTTAAATAGTTACTTTTAACTCTTTGAAATAATATCAGATGTTAAAACTTCAGACTATTGGATGTTGTGACTATAAAACTGTCTAATATCAGTCTATTAAGTTTGGTTGATGAGAAAAAGTGGGCAGCTGCCACTGCTTCTGGCCCTCCTGGTTCCACAATATATAAAATTAAGATGGACATATGCTGTTATCACGCACCTTGTCATCATCCTCACAGGTCATGACGTTGGAGAAAGGGATCTCAGCCTTGAACATCTTTCTGCAGTGCATGAGCTGCACCAGCAGGTAACAGACTGTCTTAAACTTCATCCTTTTCGCTGGCTTTATGTCTGATAGGATCAGACCAGGAAAAATCTGCAGAGAGAGAGAGAGAGAGAGAGAGAGAGAGAGGGAGAGGGAGGAAGAGGGAGGAAGAGAGGAAGGGGGTGGGAAGAAATGTGGAATGAGGAAAGAGAAAAGATTAACTGAATGTGTGAAAATGGCTGCAGTAATTGTCGTCTGAAAAAAAGAAGTGACTTAAAAAGTGATATGAATCCTTTTGAACTCCAGATGGATTAGGATGTGTGTAAGGCTTTTGATTGTGCATATGTGACCCTGGACCACGAAACCAGTCACAAGTCACTCGGGTATATTTGTGGCAATAGCCAAAAATGTTAGAATATGATCTGTATGTTATTCTAATGTTGATCTAGCTTACTGCTAGTCTCATACCGCCAACAAACTAACACATAGAATAACATTAAACACACTCAAATCCGGTTTAGTGTGATAGTGTAACTGTTAGACCAAGTGAAACAACACTGTGTTACCTCACAAGTTTCATTCGTCTAATAAACTGACCTGTGTGAGTAGTAATAAAGCACTTGCGTGTAGTTCGGTAGAATTAATTGTCCTTATTACTTTATATCCGCGGGATTCGCATGTGCCGCTGATATCGGTCTCTCATTAGCAGTCTCGCCCTGCTTCATACCACAGTCATGTTAAAAACATCAATGTATTCACTCATCCATAAACATTATTAGATCCATCAGCTTGATGACAAGATCCATAATTTCCGCTTAATGCTTTGCGTCATCAACCTATGCCTTTGTTATTGTAAGAGGTTAGTGACAAAATAATGTCAATGCTTTTGCATTCTCTCTTTTCTCTTGCATTCTCCCTAGAAACTTTGCATTCGCTCACAAAACATTTTCGTTCGCTCGCTAAACTTTTGTGTTCTTTGAGAGTGAACGCAAAGTTTTTTGGGGGAATGCAAACATTTTGCGAGCAAACGCAACGTTTTTTTGGGGGGACGCAAAACATTTTCGAGAGAACGCAAAAGCAAATAATTTTCCCTCCCATCTCATATTTTTTTTCTTCACAAGGTCCCTTTAGGGGTTCCGTTTGAAAGATAACTTGGACTCGCTGTGAGAGGATTTGTGTGCGCACTCATCCAAAGCGCACAGACAGGAAGCCGTGCCTCAGACAGCGCGCAAATATTTAGTTCTCTTTCATGTCTTGCAATTGAACGGACAAATTCACACAAACATGCCTTCCTTGTCGAGTAACATATAGGTAATGTCTTAAGTGAACGTAAACAGTCGAGAAAGACAACGCATGTGTACACTGTCAGTATTTTGGATCTGTGCATTGTCATAAAGTGACAGCAGCCTAATATTTCTGCTGTCTGTGTTTTTAATGTTAATCAAACAACAAAAGACAAGGAAATAACTCACTGCTCTTGACTGAATTGCTTTTGTAACATTAATAATGATTGATCTTTATTTAATTTCTACGGTGAAGATTATATGCAGTTTACTTCAATTTCTGTACCTGAAAACTACCTGAAAAACCTGAAAAGCACTATTTTATTTGTATCTTTGCTCTGTAGCACTTTATTTTACAGTCCAGTTCCCCATGTACATACCATGTACATACACTCTCTTTCGATTGCCTCAAAAAGAGCGTTTTCTGATCTAAAAGAGCTTGCAAACAAGAGGAGATCTCTCTTGCTGGAGAGAAAGCGCATTCAGTGGCGTTTCGCCTTAGAGCCAGTGCACAGTTATAAGTGCAGCGATTCCCGCTTGGTGCTTCGGCGCAAAAGAAGCTTCCTTAAAAGATCAAGCACGGCGGGGCGAACGTCTTTTGAAAGATGCCTTTCCGTCTGTGTGTTTCTTGATGCATTCATTTCCTGTCCTCATCCGACAGCCACGATCGCTATCTCACATGTCTGAGCCGCGAGCATGCTGAGATTGTGGCGTCAGCATTGCAGTCGCGACTCTCCTTCTTTGTGGAGACTCATTCTTCGTGAGTCCCATCTGCTGATAGCCAGCCCACTGCCTCTGCTCAAGGTAGAGCATTGAACCTGGTTAACACTTTGGGAGAACTTGAGGGTTACCGTGGAAGCGCTTTCGCTGGGCCAGTCCCCAAGGACCTCCCACTCCTCTAGCATGCCGTGTGCTGTCGAGCTGTCGGGTGATGGCGCGGGTCCTTCTCGCGGGGGACCCAGCGTATCATTTGGCACTCCGGGTTCCATTGCCTGCTTTTCTAGGAGCTCAGAGCTGATTGGGTCTCCTAAGTGAGACCCCATTTGTCAGACTTGGAAATAAAGTCTCAGTTCTCTCATCAGGGAACGAAGCTTACATCAGTAACCAAGACTTTCCCTCTTACGTTATTTACAGTACAGTTTGTATTATCAAGAAAAACACCACCTTAGAGAAGTAAAATGCTTTACAAGAGTTTATTCATGTTGTCTACAATGTAGATAATGATGATGTGTTTGTACCTTGCGTCTGTGTGAGGGTACGATGAAGAAAGTCTCGATGGCGTGTTTGCTGAGGAAAGCGTGTCTCTCGTGGCCGAGGCCCGGCTCCACCTCGTAATCTCCATTTAGACATTCCAGTGTTGCCTTGGTGATATGAACCTTCCTGTTGAGGGAAGGGCAAATGATCACACTATCACCTTTCTGCTCATTTAGGAATGATATTCCACGTTACATGTTGTATGATGGTTTAATATCTGATTATGATGAATGTGGTGTGGGACTGACCCAGGCAGTCCTCCTGCCTCCATCATGTTGGCCAGTGTGACGTCATTGGACCAGACATCATACTGCCACTTTCGGAGCCCCAGAACCCCGCACAGCACGCGGCCCGTGTGCAAACCCACACGCATGTTCAGGTTCACCTCGGTCGCTTCCGCAACAGACCTGATTACACACATATTCGCAAAAAGGTACATTCTGTTTAAGTTTGGCATTTTTAATACATTAGTGGTCTTTATACTGACACTTACTGGTGTGGATGAAACGTCACAAAAGAGCAAATGTTTTTGGTTACAGATGCAATTGAAGAAATAGCCGCAGGCACATTTGATACCCATGACTAATTAAGTCGGTGTTATTTAATAGGGTAATAAAACAACAAAAATGCAGATATATTAGGGAATTGTACAATTGGGATTACCAGACCTGGAAACTAGGAAAGTAATGGAAATAGTAAACTTTTAGTTATAATCTGCTGTAAAATATCTTATTGGCTGAAAATTACTTTAGTAAAACTTTTGACTCAAATCAAAAGATTAACCTGAATCTAATGTTTTTTAAAGTTGCGATGAAACAGAAGAAGCCAAATAACTTTTCTTCCTTATAGTGACGTACTGTACATCTGAGCGAAATGGATTATCCAAAAGGACAAAAAGATGGGACTTGGTTCTATCCATCAGTTATAGTAAATAAATAATAATAATAATAATAATAATAATAATAAAACATATGCATGTATAAATCATTCACGATAAGATCTATAATAAATAGATATTAAAGGTGCCCTAGAATGTTTTTTTTTATATTATTTTATAATGTTTCCTGGGTTACCCTTATAATGTTAGTATGTTTTTTAGATAAAAAATAATCATAATTTAGAAATAAATGGCATTTTTCCTAGCCTGCTTTTAGCCTCTGATTTGAACACTCTGTTTGAAGGGGCGTGTCTGCTGTGGGATTCAGTGTAACCACGGCCTCTGCTGTGATTGGCTGACATGCTTGCATATGAAATAGCAACGCATTACATGTGAAACTCTCTCCCGAATACTTTTACTACTGCTATTATACGTTTTTACTATAACAGCTATCGAGATTAACGAATCGTGAAATGTTTTTAAAGTATTTAGATCTATTCCCATCACATAAAATGTTGCCGTGATGAGCATTGAGCAGATGACAGTGTGTTGATCGCGAGAATGAAGATCTTATCATTGCAAAGCAGTTTCTGCACTCTCTCTAATGCTTTCACCAATGCAAACACGATGATGTAAATACAGTAAGAGCTTTGTTGTGCAGTAACGTGCGTCATTGATTTCATAACGAGTTTGGCAAGTGTCCAGATAAACTCGCGCTGTGTGGAAAGATTGTTCTTTGATCGCTTTCTGTATATAATTTGTTCACAATTTAAATACGATTATTTTCATCCTACTAAAAGAAACGATGTGAGGTTGATATTTTAGTCACTGGCTTGACTTACTGATGCATAAACAGTATTGAACGATTTTGAGAGAAAGATTACCTGTCTGAACTTGAACAATTACACATCAGAAAGTGTTGCTTGGTAGCTCAATCCGAGGCCAGCTCTGTATTGGCCCAAGTTGAGGAAACAGTCGGTGAAATGTTTGGAAATTTCCAGAGAAAATAAAATTAACCCATTGTTTCTTCAGAGGCTCAGATGAAGGAACTAAAAAATACTTTTGTGTTCATGTGTACATCCACACTGAGCAACTGCCATGCTTCGGCTGCGCAGTTCCGCCTGGCATTGAGGGCTGGCATTATGCAAATATTTGGAGGCGTACATATTAATGATCCCGACTATTGCGTCACAGTCGGTATTGTGTGGAGAACCGACCGTTTTTCAGGGGTGTTTTTCATAAACGTGAATTAAATGAGAACGCGAAAACAGTCCAGTTTGAGATTCACTCTATGTCATGTCCATGCACTGAACTCCTGTTATTTGACTATATCAAGGTAAATTCAATTTTGAATTATAGGTCACCTTTAAATTGATTATAAATCCTCATGTACTGAAATCACTGGCGTGTAACGATACATGTATTTGTATCAGTCGTCACAGCAATCCACACTCCAATCCAGAAGGGGGTGCGAGGTAATGCAACGCTGTTAGCTAACCTCCACAACAGAAAAAGAAGAAGAAGAAGAGATGATCTACCATAGACAGTAAAAGAAATGGACACAGCGACCCCATAGGCTTCAACGGAGAAAAGTGAAGTCAAATAGAAGCACTCACTTCCTGATTGCCAAGCGCACTGCGCATGCTCAAACTGAGCTTGACGACGTAGATGTGACGTGAGCAACCTGACTGACAGTTGTACGTCTTCTAGTAGCGGTGCCAATAGGAATCTGAATCATTCCCTTCTGAATCTTGCAGAGCCGGAGAGCGTGAGTATTAGCTGTTCATGAGCTAGCAGCAGGAGCAACTTTATGACACTCTATGGGCTTCTCCCTTGACTTTATGCCTCCACGTCCCCCGATTGCGTGTGAGCTTCTACATCTGTCTTTACGGTCATTTCTCTTCTATGCGACAGAGAGTCGCGTGTTATGATGCAATCGTTAGCCTATTTTTACAAATACATTCTACGGGGCCACAACGTAAGATACAAGGTAATGGAGCATTTTATACATTGTCGTGTTTCTTTAGAAATAAATAATGGATAAATGGAGTCTTTAAACGTCTCAGATGTAAAGTTATTCACTGTCAAAGTGACGCAAAAATGAATGGGAGTCAATGGAATGCTAACAGCAGGTGAAGGCTTGTTAGCCAATGGCGGCGCCCGGGGAGACTTCAGTTTCCGGCTGGTGGATTACCCCCTTGTGATCTACGCACCATCCCAAAAGCTTTCAGATGACATGCAAGAACTTGCTAGTGGCCAATACACTGCATTTCGATTTATTTTTGGGACACGCTCCACTAACTTCATGGAATGGAAACTGGGAGGGCAGAAAGCGGCATCCTCTTTGTTTTCTTTATTTTACAAAAGCACAATGTTTTGTTTTTATTGTGAGTGTACACAAATAAAAATAGACCCTTTACAGTTTCGAATGATGTCTTACTCTTAGCTGCATGACTATAAATGACAGAGTATTTTTCAGCTGTTTCCGCTGTTATAATGAGGTGGGTAGTGGGCAGACGACATCATCCAGATGTGCCAATCACCAGAGCTGGGCAGAAAAAAAAGTCTCTAGTCTTCAAATCTCTGCACAAGTTTTATTTTTCATTTATTTTGTACTTTTACGCAACAAAAGAGATGCTTTTCAGTTTTGCAGCTGACTGTGACCAAATCACTTATCACAAAAAAATATGACCAATGCAAGAGTGCATTCTGTTTACTGATTAGTGCTTTATACACTAAAGGAGTCTGTAATTTACACCACTGTCTGCTCAAAATAAACGAAAAGAAACCTACCATTGTGGATATGTTGTTTTTTTCTGTCGTACCGAACTCATATTGACCAGTGACCCCAAAACCTAGGTACATACTGAACCGTGGCTTCTGTGTAGCCTACACCCCTAATAATCACCATAACAAAAAACATTGCAAACAATAGAAAAGATCCTAGAAAATAATTGGTGAAAAGCGTGGGAACCCTGAATGCTATATTTCCATCTAGAAAACTAGAGTCTGGTTTTTCCCCCTTTTTTTAAAGCTTCTTATTCTCTCCTCACCCCTCACTATAATGCCGGATCTGATGATTGAAGAGAGAGAGGGGGCTTTGGCAGGAGGAATTTCTTTTCTGTTTGCTACCAGCACAAAGCAAGATATCTACACTAATGTGAGATCGAAAGTGTGTGTGTGAGAGCGAGAGATATGTGTTTCTGCGAGAGTTTTTGTCCGTGCATGCATGTGTGTGTGTGTGTGTGTGTGTGTGTGTGTGTGTGTGTGTGTGTGTGTGTGTGTGTGTGTGCATATTCTATCACCTGTGTGAGGTGATATGAGACTTCAGCAGCGAAAGCCGGCTTAGAATTCAGAGCAGAGAAATGAATATAGAGGAGCTGCAGGTCTCTCACATTCACGCACACGCACACACACATTCCCACACAAAATCACTATAGCTTTCAAATACAGCCTGTCAGATGATGGTCCTGCTGGTTGGCTCAAGTGACTGATGTTAAAACGAAATGAGATTTAGCCACAAACACTGACTCACGTGATGGTGTCGATCATGTCCAGACCCATCTCCACACAGCAGTGAGCGTGGTCCGTTTTGGGCTGGGTCAGGCCAGACACACAGTAATAACAGTCTCCTAAGATCTTAATCCTCCTGCAATGGTTTTCCTGCCAATCAGACACACAAAAGCACGATGGGAGTTTTGCCAGAGACACACAGAGCCAATAAAAGGGATGTGCAGTTGAAAGGAAGTCAGTGATGCGGTTCATAAATATCACATATATATACCAGGTTATACAGAATCGGTATTTACACAATTTATGAGTAAAGAAAAGTATGATCATGGTATTTCTGAGACAAACCATTAGGAAGTGTCCTGCTTTGTCAGTTAAGAAATGAGCAGATGAGAGTTTATTTGGCAATTATGTTTTTATTATAGAAAGCTGTTTGTGTGCTTGTCACTTTATGTGAAACTTGCATTAAGTCTAAAGGCCTGTTCACACCAAGACTGATAACTATAAATTTAACTTCAACGATAACTATTTTAGAGTCCACACCAATCCATGATAACGTTCTGTTTATTGTAACAGCTTATGCAGTTTTGCGCTACTTTTAAATGCTTGACTTCTTTGAAGTAGCCAGGTTTCTGATTGGCTGTCAATATTTGTATCGTTCATCACCTAAAAAAATCGTTTCGAAAGTTATTCCAGCAATATCGTTCCTCTGCGTTATCTTTATAGTTGATGTGATGTGGAATTACCTATATTTGTATTAGACTGATTAATAAAACTTTATAATTATGATCCTTGGTATGAATGGGCCTTAACAAACATATTTTTCTGTATTAAAATGGATTAAGTCTATTGCAAAAGCTTGTATTTTAAATTGTAATATGTCACAATATTACTGTTTGACTGTATTTTTGATCAAATAAATGCAGCCTTATGGTGAGGTGAGCATAGGACTTTTGAACACTAGAGTAGTTTCTATTCATTTTTCCAATTGAGTTGAGATTTTAGAAGCTTTATCACATTTGGAATTTCCACTCCACAATTTTGGGTTACACTTTATTTTAGGTGTGACGTAGTTACATTGTACTAACTCAAATAAGTAATGAGTAATATTAATTAACTACATGTAATTACTCAGCCTGTTCTCACGTAAATGCGTCTCTATAGCACGCATTGTGTATTCTCGTGCAATTTATACGCGAAAATGAGTTTTTACGTGCATATGATACGCAGTTTTCGCGTGCATTTGATACGCAGTTCATTTGCGTGTAATACACACGCACCCCACACCACTAATTCTACCCAAACGTATAATACACACGCACCCCACACCACTACTAAACCTACCCTAACCAACCCATGCGTATCCTATGCACGCAAAAACTCATTTTCGCGTATAAATTACACGATAAACACACTGCGTGCTATAGAGACGCATTTAGTGTGATCGGGTTGAATTACTATAGAGTTACGGTTAGGGTTAGGATTTGGTTTAGTGTTAGTTACTTGCAATTATGCATAATTTACTGTTATTACAATAGTAAGTATGTGTAGTAACGTGTAACTATGTCACCTGAAAATAAAGTGTTACCCAAATGTGTTCTTAAACTATAGATACTGATACAAACAGGCCTAACCTTTTGCAAATGCATTATCAGGATTATACCATTCAAATTAATTAAACAAAACAATGAGACACTTTAGACCAGTGGTTCTCAATCCTGGTCCTGGGGAGCCACATCTCTGCACAGTTTGTATGTCTCTCTCATTTAACACACCTGATTCAGATCATCAGCTCGTTTATACTCTATTAACTGAAGTGCGTTTGTCATATAAAGGAGACATATAAAATGTGCAGAGCAGTGGCTCCCCAGGACCAAGATTGAGAACCACTGCTTTAGAGTAAACAGAGTGAGACAAACAGAAAGAAAGAAAAAAGGAACTCTACAGATCAATTGCTCTATTTTATGAGAGATGTACCATCTGGCACCACCGGGCAGGAGGAGACTGTGGGAAACCCCCTGTCACAGTGTGCACACACACACACACACACACCATCTGTGCCAATCATTTCCAACTGTTGCCTGAATTTCAAACTGAAATCTACCTGAATTATTTTAGTTTTTTTGTTACAGAGAGCTACATGTCACAGAAGTCTTACTTTTCTCTGGAACAGACTGTATTTAATAAAGACTTGCACTTGCTGACTTGGGGATACAGAAAAGCAAACTGAGCCATGAAATTGTTGAAGGAAAGGAAAATTATTAAACTGAAAATTTGGAGCTAATCTCTTTCAACACCAGCACATTAAAGACCCACTCCGATGAAAATAATGTTTTTCTAGGTGTTAACATGTTCTTGTGGCATTTTTCTGATGTTAGAGGACATGAAAAATAAGCTCAAAGTTGTATTTCTGAGTATTTCTACATTCAAATGGCTGTGAATCAGTAGCAGACGCTAAAATGCCGGCTAAAATAGACTGGAGTTGTGACGTAGTAACTCCACTGGGCGTCTCCACACGCGACGTCTTGGAGTGAAATAATGATCGGTGATCGGTGATAACTTTGATTAACTTCGGATAATAATAATTAACGTGTATATAATACTGTTGCCCCACCGGTATTGGGGGTGTAAGCTAGGGGAGAGACAGAGCTCTCAGCAACGGGCAGGGGGAGGGTCGTCTCCGTGCCAACGGCTCCGCCCACAACTCATAGGCGAATTGCTAATGAGCTACTGCCGCTCTGCTGAAGCGAAGTCCCAGAAAACGGCACAGGTTTTGTGATTTTGGCTAAAAATGCCATAATCATAATTTAAAGACCACTGGGAATGTTTAAAAATAGCTCAAAATATGATCGGAGTGGGACTTTAAACCGTTTTTAGTTATTGGAGGAAAATTATTACAATCCACGAAGATCCAAATAATGCAAAAGCCTCTAAAAGTTGTAGTTGTAATTTACAGTACATCAAAGATACTTCTGTATGACCACAGGCTGCACCTTTGAAAAGTGCAAACACAATCACAGCTGTCAGGATGGTAATTTAGCATTTACTGTGAGGGGTTGCTGAAATATTTATTAGTGTTTGCTAAGACAAGAATCTCTATTACTTTTGTTAGGGATCTGAAAAAAAAAAACCTAACATTCTATCAAACTTCTGTGAGTAACCTGTCTTGCCCAGTTTATTCTTTGAACATGAAAGATACCAGATAACATCTCAAGTTATGTGGTTTGCTCAGGACATGTTGGGCAAATACAGTGTGTTTCAACCAGATAGACCCGACTTGAAATAACTATATCTCTGCAACCCCAAACCACACATGAATGAAACTCTCACCACTTGAAAGAATGGGGCATAGAGTTTCAATGGTCGACACTATCTATAGATACCTCTCCCAGCGCACCAACAGCCTCTAGCCTCAGTTGTTCGCAAGATGGTGACCCAATTGGGTCCATCTATTTGAAACACCCTGTACTTTTCGAAGTGATCTGGTGGACGATAGAACAGGCAAGAGACTATAACGCTTTTTTTAAAAGTACATTTTAGTGCACTTTTAAATTATAATTACATACATAATATACTTTAAAAGAATATACTTGAGTGGAAAAAAAATTTACTTAAAAAATTATGGGTTTTTTAAACCCATGTTTGGGTCAAAAATTGACAAATCCAAGAATGTATTTACATTTTTTAAATAAATGTTTAAACCCAACATTTGGGTTTGTACATATTTGACCCAAACATGGGTTGAGACAACCCAGCATTTTTTAGTCAGAAATGTAATTAATTTGAACATACTTAAAAGTATGTTCTATATAGCAGGGGCTCCGTCATTTATTTATTTGCCAAACAACGGAAATTTTCTTCAAATCTGCCAGTTACAGAGGGTTTTGGGTAAGCGGATGTACAGCAGCTTTGGCGCCTATACACTCTGTTGTTATGAATTGTCATCATTGTCCCAAGTTCTCATTGGTTTGCTGGCATATGAGGGAATTCATGCGCAGGGAAAGCTGTCCCTGAATCGCTCAACGAAAATCACATTGTATTTGATACAAAACTACCTGGGGATCAAGTGGGAAAAAAAAAGTCATAACTGAAACTATTTCAGTAGTTCATTTTCTCCATAAGGAAATTTACTTTTAACGAAGACAGACCTACTGTAAGCAGACTCTGTAACTATAAGGGAAATATTCGATTTCGGATGTAAGAAGAACACTTCAGCAACCACATAGCAATGCCTTAGCAACCACCCAAACAGTACCCTAGTATTCCTGTTTGTTTATGCTATTTTACAGTTGGCAAGTTGCTTTAGAGGAAGTGGTGTTTTTCCTACTAAATCACTTGACATGTAATGTATGTAAATACAAGTTGGATTTTTCTCAGTCAGAAGTCTTTTGTCCATTGTTATTTTTGCTCTAACTCAAATGCTTCCTCTCTGAGGATTGAGGAAAATTGTACAGAGGGACTCTATGAGAAGCTGTGGCCACTAATGGGGATTATGATTATAATGCTGTTTAGCATATTGTCGCCAGACTGTGAGCAATCATATAAGGTACTGCATACGCCCATAGACTCAAGCTTTCTAATGCGATTTGCTCCTCTCTTCCTTTCTCTCAACACATACATGCCCATAGTATTACTTACTGTAGCGAGCTCATCAAATTTTCCGAAGAGCTCATTCAGTAGTTTAACCAGCTCTTGGGCCGTGCACTGTGATGCTAGACTGGTAAACCCAACAATGTCTGCAAACAGGATGCTGCACAGAATGAGAGGACAACAGGTTATGGTGATTCACAACAGACCTTACACTGTTCTTTGTAATGGCTTAGGGACAAGCCAGAAAACTGTGTTTTATCAGAAACATGCACAGGACTATAAAAGCAATATGAATCAACCAGCGTCTACTGAGTCTGTTGGCCTTTTTTTCATTAAAACATTACAATCTGTAGTCAGATTAACCCAGGCCAGGGGTACGGGGGGTACTTGGCTCACCCAATCATTTATTGAGTGAGCTTAACCCACCTGAGGTGTCAAGGTTTGGCTGGTTAGTAATAAACTAATCAGTGTTGTACCATTAATTTAGCATGTCAATGTTAATGTAGCATGTCAAAATACTTTTGTTGAAGTTGCGATGAAACTGAAGTAGTAACAAATCTACAATAAAACATTTTGACGAACATTCTTGAAAAAGGAAATAATGTAGGGCAGGGACTTGGCTCTATCCATCAGTTGTTGATTAGATGGAAGCAGATCTGAACGCGAGCTTGATGTAGATTGTAAGAAAATGGCGGGATTCGGAAACAGGCGGGAAGTGGACTAAATGATTGGAGAAGTCCAGCATACGTCACCAGAGAGCAGTCTGTCTTTTCACCGGAAGATTCAGTTTAATCATTTTGATTAAAATCATTTAAAGATTTAAAAGGTCCAAAATGAAATAACACGCTTATAGAAAATAAAAAAAAGGTAAATTTTCATTTCATACCAACCTCAGCTAAACTAAAATATAATAAAACAGTAATATGAATTACAATATTACATAAAAAAACCCGAATACAAATTTTAAATAACGACAATTAAACTACCACAGATTCATTTTAGTTTTACTTTCGATTACTTATTACAGAATATATAGTAAACATTTCAAACTTTATAACACACCTTCATTAACATTAAAATGTAATGCTGCGATAAAATCTAAATTAAATGAATGTAAATCAAAGATGTTGATTGTAAGAAAAATGGCGGGATTTGGAAAATGGCTGGAAATGATTGGAGAAGTCAATCATTGAAAATTGGAAAAAAAATCACAGTGAACTCTAATTAAAACTAAATTAATATTACAAGTTCGAAATAAAACTAAATTCAAAACTATAATAAACAAAAGGCTCCAGATTCATTGGTTACATCACATTTCTGACTAAGGTTACAGATTCAAAACCTCAAAACTAAGCAAATATGGCAGTGAGAGATGATAGTACTAACGTATAACTTTTACAGAGCTCGCAGTTACAGCCCACCTTTCATCTTTAAACTGGAGCTGGGCCTGCAGTAACCTCATCTTTTAGACAGTTAGTGGGTCATGGAAAAGTTACTTGTATGCATCATCTTTCACTCCCAAATCGCTTGGTTGGAGCAGGTCTTTAGGGATGGCATATGTGTGTATGTGCTATTGTGTGAATTTGCCCCCCAGCACTTGCTCCATCTCTCACTCTGTGTCTCTCCGCATGTGTGGGCAGCGTGGGTTAATTGAGCAGCTCTTGACATGATAGCACTAGCGCTGTAGGCGCCGTACATGCTGTGCGAGCTTTGGTTAGGAGCCAGACTCAGGAACTTAGACGACTGTGCGTGAGTGGAGTGTTGTTGACTCTTATTGACTCACTGATTCAGTATTCGCAATCACAATTTAAGTACAATTGAATTGACACTGTCTGTCTAGTCTGGAAAGAAAGAAAACTATAAATGTAGTAGTGCTCTCCTCTCTCATTCATTGAATGGGTCTCTCTCTCTCTCTCTCTCTCTATACCTGACGTTGTCATGCCGTTGGATGTATATCTTGTGGAAGATTCTTTCTGGTGGCTTCAGGAAGTCCTCCTTCATCTCCATGGCAACATTCCTGGGCAGCAGGCTCATTAGGAGGCGTTCCTGTTGAATATGTCCATCACATTTTGAGATAAACAGTGAGTTTTTTGAGTGTCATCGGTCAAGTTTAATATGAATTAAAGGATCAATTATTATAATACTCTTTATAATTCATTTACTCATTTTTATCACTACTATTCCAATATTTTTAAATAATATAAAGCCTTAAAACTATAAAATGACACAAATGGAATTGTGGGAATTTTGCAGTGACCAAATATGACAAACAAATCAAAACTCTCTAATTGTTCACAATTGCTGCCCTTTAATTGATTTTTGACATTCACTCAACCAACTTTATGAGGGATGCTTTTCCAACATACCTCCAATAATTTCCCCCCCCCAATAAATGACAAATTGGACACACAACATGTAATTTATGTTAGCAATGTGCTAAAACATGGTAGCAATGTGCTAATTTATGCTAGTAATGAGTAAAAGCATGTTAATTCATGTTAGCAACATGCTAATTCATGTTAGCAACATGATAATTCATGTTAGCAACATGATAATTCATGCTAGCAATGTGCTAAAACATGCTAGTGATGTGTTAAAACATGCGAATTCATGCTAGCAACATGCTCAAATCTATCTATCCATCCATCCATCCATCTATCTATCTATCTATCTATCTGCTTTCTGATAGACTGTACTGCCTTCAAAACCATCAAACGTTAAGCTTTAAAACTACTTTTAACTTAAAACTATTTAACGGAAAACATTTGAAAACCAAAGTTTTTAAACTTTTTCAAACTTTCTGGGGTGCATTTCCCAAAAACATTTTTAGCCAACTATGGTAGCAAGTTCCCTTGAATTGTATTGGTACATAACTAGCTAGATGTTGTTATAAAACAAAATGTGAAAGCCTCATCAAGTAATGTTAACCACAGACATGGACATTTCCAAGGGAAGCCATAGCCTTCTGGCTGGCCTTTAAAATTATGTCATGATTGAGCATCTCCATTGCGTTATGCTATTGTTAGTTTAAAACTGGCCACTTCTGTTATCTGTATGCGTTTTATCTAATGAACTTGCTGATAGCTAAAGGGGCCAATCTCTCTGAGAGATCACAGTTTTGAGCTTTGGAGTTGATTGGCATGGCAAAGGTAAGTTTCTGTGGAAACGCATACAGTTCATTGCCAAGCCATGCGTTACTAAAAGCAGGTGATAAATGCTTTCTCGATGAGCAAACCCCAGCGAGCCATGCCACTGGTGTTAAAAGCCCAATGGATCGGTTTGTCAATTGCCTTAACTCAAAAGTTGAGCTGAGAGTTGTGTAGAGAGTTTGTATAATTAGCAGCAAAACTGTAACTGCCTAAGCCTCTTTTATTGACTGAAATTTAAAACCAATGAACATTATACACTCACCGGCCACTTTATTAGGTACCCCATGCTAGTAACGGGTTGGACCCCCTTTTGCCTTCAGAACTGCCTCAATTCTTCGTGGCATAGATTCAACAAGGTGCTGGAAGCATTCCTCAGGGAGTTTGGTCCATATTGACATGATGGCATCACACAGTTGCCGCAGATTTGTCGGCTGCACATCCATGATGCGAATCTCCCGTTCCACCACATCCCAAAGATGCTCTATTGGGTTGAGATCTGGTGACTGTGGAGGCCATTTTAGTACAGTGAACTCATTGTCATGTTCAAGAAACCAATTTGAAATGATTAGAGCTTTGTGACATGGTGGAAGTAGCCATCAGAGGATGGGTACATGGTGGCCATAAAGGGATGGACATGGTCAGAAACAATGCTCAGGTAGGCCGTGGCATTTAAACGATGCCCAATTGGCACTAAGGGGCCTAAAGTGTGCCAGGAAAACATCCCCCACACCATTACACCACCACCACCAGCCTGCACAGTGGTAACAAGGCATGATGGTTCCATGTTCTCATTCTGTTTACGCCAAATTCTGACTCTAACATCTGAATGTCTCAACAGAAATCGAGACTCATCAGACCAGGCAACATTTTTCCAGTCTTCAACTGTTCAATTTTGGTGAGCTCTTGCAAATTGTAGCCTCTTTTTCCTATTTGTAGTGGAGATGAGTGGTACCCGGTGGAGTCTTCTGCTGTTGTAGCCCATCCGCCTCAAGGTTTTGCGTGTTGTGGCTTCACAAATGCTTTGCTGCATACCTCGGTTGTAACGAGTGGTTATTTCAGTCACTGTTGCCCTTCTATCAGCTCGAACCAGTCTGGCCATTCTCCTCTGACCTCTGGCATCAACAAGGCATTTCCGCCCACAGAACTGCCGCTCACTGGATGTTTTTTCTTTTTCGGACCATTCTCTGTAAACCCTAGAGGTGGTTGTGCGTGAAAATCCCAGTAGATTAGCAGTTTCTGAAATACTCAGACCAGCCCTTCTGGCACCAACAATCATGCCACGTTCAAAGTCACTCAAATCAACTTTCTTCCCCATACTGATGCTCGGTTTGAACTGCAGGAGATTGTCTTGACCATGTCTACATGCCTAAATGCACTGAGTTGCCGCCATGTGATTGGCTGCTTAGAAATTAAGTGTTAACGAGCAGTTGGACAGGTGTACCTAATAAAGTGGCCGGTGAGTGTAGTCTGCAACATATAGATTTTTCCTTGTTGACAAAGTTATAAAGTTGTGCTGTGTATATATACTTTAAAGGTCCCCTTACATGAAATTTTCACTTTGAGGTTTTTTAACATTAATATGAGTTCCCCTAGCCTGTATATGGTCCCCCAGTGGCTAGAAAATTAAATCGGTGTAAAGCGAGCTTTGGCTATCTTTCTCTGCCTATCTTTTCTCTTAAAGATCAGATTCAAGATCAGCCCGTCTGAGCTTTCATTTTCTCAATGACGTCATACGGAGGTGAGGTAACCTCCCCTTTCTCTGCTTTGCCCGCCCAGAGAATTTGGCTCGCCCATGAGAAAATGAGCTAGGAAGTACGAACGCGCGAGCGCGATTTGAGTTTTTCCTCGAGAGATATCATGGCTTGCAAACGAGCGAAGCATGGCAGTTGATCAGTGTCTGGATGTACAAATGAACACAAAAGTATTTTTTAGTTCCTTCATCCGAGCCTCGAGACAGAAGAAACAATGGGTTCATTTTATTTTTTCTGGAAATGCGCCGACACAACTTCCCAAAGTTTTTTATGGTCCAAACATTTCACCGATGACTGTTTCCTCAACTTGGGCCAATACAGAGCTGGCCTCGATGAACGTCTGAAAATAATTAATCGAGCTACCAAGCAACAATTTCTGATGTGTAGCCTAATTGTTCAAGTTCAGACAGGTAATCTTTCTCTCAAAATCGTTCAATACTGTTTATGCATCAGTAAGTCAAGCCAGTGACTAAAATATCAATCTCACATCGTTTCTTTTAGTAGGATGAAAATAATCTTATTTAAATTGTGAACAAATTATACAGAAAGCGATCAAAGAACAATCTTTCCACACAGCGCGAGTTTATCTGGACAACTCGTTATGAAATCAATGACGCACGTTACACTGCACAACGAAGCTCTTACTGTATGTACATCATCGTGTTTGCATTGGGGAAAGCATTAGAGAGAGTGCAGAAACTGCGTTGCAATGATAAGATCTTCATGCTCGATCAACAGACTGTCATCTGCTCAATGCTCATCACGGCAAGATGAGCATTGAGTATTTATATAGATCTAAATACTTTAAAAACTTCTCACGATTCGTTAATCTCGATAGCTATAATAGTAAAAACGTATAATAGCTGTAGTAAAAGTATTCGAGAGAGTTTCACATGTAATACGTAGCTATTTCATATGCAAGCATGTCAGCCAATCACAGCCAATCTTGGAATTCCTTTGATGCGGCCAAAGTGAGGTGAGTAGAGATGAGTGTACGATGGTCTCTGGAGAGGATCTCAGTGTCGTAAATGGTGTCAGAAAGCAATCTAATCCCACCATGCCGGTAATTTAGATTGCCGAGAGTCCTGATTTACATTCACGAGTTCAGAGTGTAAAAGCTTTGGATTTCAGAAGGAATGTGCATTATTTGTGTTCAGATGAACGAACCATGATTTATCCAGACGCTACAGCGGAAATATGCTAATACGGGACAGTCCATCAGCGGTCGTGGGCGGAGCATGAGCAATATGACATCATAATCAATTATATGGCATACTTGATTATTGAGAGTGTTTAGACTTTTTGAGGATAAAAAAAAAGGAGTGAATGGATTTTTTTCATTGTAGGCTATGGTGGTTGTGTCCACACACACTGCAAAGACACATTTATATGCAAACACCATATAAAAGTAAATCTTGCATCCGATGACCCCTTTAAGAAATACTATGCAGTGCAAATTGTTTACAGTTAAAGCAGCTCAAACATGAATTTTAGTCTGGGACTAGGTTTAAAGGGGGGGTGAAACACTCAGTTTCAGTCAATCTCATGTTAATCTTGAGTACCTATAGAGTAGTATTGCATCCTTCATATCTCCTAAAAGTCTTTAGTTTTATTATATTTATAAAAAAGAAAGATAGGCTGTACCGAGTCTTTCCGGAAAAAAACGAGCGGGTGGAGGCATGCCGTGTGGGCGGAGCTAAATAATCACGAGCGCGCGAAGCTTTTGCGTTGAGCGTCTGGAAGCTGTGGCATCCCAAAACAAACCATGGCTAACAATCAGATTCAGCCATACATTTTTGATGCCGAATCAGATCCCGAGGCTGAAATTGAAGACGAGCAGCAGCAGCAACGACTACAGCAGGACGTCTCTATGTGGTGTGTAGCCTACTGGAACTGTATAATTATATTTGCTTAGCGGTTTTTGTAAATGACTAATTTTCACTTTATGTCGTCGTATTTTTTTTTTTCTTTAAAGGTGTACATGTGGGAAAGTTTGATGCCGACTGAGGCGGGAGTTTTTTAAAAGTAGAAATGATTTGAGCTTGAGGCAGTGTTTTTAGAACACCATGCCATGCACGAGTTATAATAACTTACAACATTTGAGTGTGTTTACTCGTTGTTTATGAGGACATGATTTGGTTTTACA